TGTACTCGGGCGGGTTGCGCAGCACGTAGCGCGTCGGGCTGGGCGTCGAGAACCCCCGCCCCGAGCCGCTCGCAGACCCGCGTGGGGGCGGCTCCGCCCCGAACGTCGACCAGCTTGTCGGCGCCGACCGCGCCGCCCCGCCGGCCGGGAACGCGTGGGGCTGGCGCGGTTTCGACGCGCTGTCGGAGGCCCGCGTCTTGTGTGAGGTGTGCCGCGTGGAGGAGCGGTTGGGGCTGCTCATTTTGGGGCGGTTGCTGGCGGAGGTTGGATGCGTGTTGTCACGGGGGCTGTGGGAGGGCGTAGGGTTTGCGGCTTGACAACAACGAGGCGGGTGTTGGGAGAAAGTTGGGTGGGAGAGTAGGGCGTGGGGTGCGAGGTGGGCAGGGGAGAGAGGGGGGGAACGAAAGAAAGATGGGGAGATGAAGACTTTGTACGCTTTGATTGAAAGGTGCGCGGGACAGAGCAGCGTTTTGTATCAAATTGGGGAAAATCGAATATGTGTACAAACCACTTATATTTGTTACAACTTGTTTAAACGTTGTCGATCTGCGCCTCTATTTTGCGCAACCTGAATGACCTTTATGTTGCGCAAGCATGTGTTCCATTCCAGGTGGCATTTAGTAATCGGCTGCGGGAGGCAGGGAACGAGGGTCTTGCGAGCAACCTATTGACAGTACAGTAAGGAACACGAGGACCGTCAGGGTGGGACACAAAGGGGGTAAATTATATCGACGGGCGTGCGGTGGACGTTTCATACTGGCAGCGGCAACACAGCGGCGGGAAAATTTAGCCAACAGTCTCCCGTTTCATGAGGGACATTTCACGAGCTGATTGACTGCTCCCGCTCTCAGCAGAGCACGAGATATTAGTTCACATGACCTTCGACTCTTCTACGAGAAGTAACCTTACCCTAGGTGAGGGTAGACGAGCCGAGGAATGAAGAATATAGTGCAAGAATTCCTCCTCTCGCGACCGCTTTCGTGCATGTCAAGCAAAACGCATCCTGCAGTACGCGTACTACACATCATAGACAGACTGGAAACAAACGCGACGGCTGCCATTCACTTCAGTTTGTTTGATGAACATGAAGTGCCTTCTGCACCGTTCTTGTTCTCTCGCCCTGTACGGTACGGAAGGCGTTCCACACTCTAGGAGACATCATCAGCCGACAGGCCAGTACGATTGCGCACAATAAAGCTATTGTCGAAGCTGCAGCCTCCACCTGGCAGATGCACCCTCCGGAAGGGCGGGGCTCCCGTGAGAAATATGAATAGACAGGCACAATGAAGCGGAGTGGGTACAGTACGGTGGCTTGAACAAGCTCGGAGAGCTTCATCAGCGATACCCTTGCTGGGGAGATTTTGTCGTTGGTGGCGCCTTGGTCAGTATCATGTCGTTCTTTACGGTTGGACACTGGCGCAAGCCGATGCAATTGGTGGAAGGACTTGCTTGTTTTTTTTTTTATATGAAGGAGCACGAGATTGGGCACTCGAACAATTTTTGATGAAGCATGATCTCTACACGCTCGCTCTAGTGAATTGAAGGCAGTGTCGCCTTCTAGCCGGGGATGCGCAATACCAAGGGTAGAGTGCAATAGAGAATGTGTTTGAGGTTCTTTCTCATACCCTAAATAAATCGGAGGATTTGTGGAAAGAGAATTAGTACATTGCAGGAGTTGTATCGATAGGATCTCGAGTGCTCATCACGGGAGAACGCGCACTTACTGTACCAGAAGTTTCCTCCTTGACACAAAACATGCCGTATACATGTATAATGACGACAGAAGACTCATCGGTGACTGATTGTCAGCACATGGTAGAAGCATGAAGCGAGGAAGCCTTAACTTGACTTGCGCAAGCGTCGAGCACATGGAAGTGTGGATTGCCGTTGAATATCTCGCATCGCTCTCTCGCTCATACAAGCGAAGCTGTTGCCGAATATGATTGCCGAGATATTTCAAAGCTACGCATGCTGAGGGGGAAGCAGACATTTATGTCGTGGTATAAATTGGAGATACAAACCAATGTTTGGTGATTCACAACTTTGAAACTCTACAGGACTCACAGTTCGACAAGTCCTTCACGGTGCTGATATCCGCAAGTCCGGCTGTTAATAGAGAGCCACTCACGTGAGCGGGCGACGTTCACATGCGGCTTAGACATCCGTAAAACTCATATGAACTACAAGCTGCTGCAGCCGGAGAAAATCAAGACATAGCAACCAAAACAAAAACAACAAAAACAACAAAAACAACAAAAACAACAAAAACAACAAAAACAACAAAAACAACAAAAAAAACAAAAAAAACAAAAAAAACAAAAAAAACAACAACAACACCAGAAATCTAGTGTCTAGACGACAAGCAATTTGACCTCATATGAGGTCAGTCATGGCCTCATATGAGGCCAGCTTTTTTTTGCAAAAATATATAAATTAAATCGAAACTTTAAAACATTCAGTTTGGACACCATTTCTTTAACGTATACGCGCTCGGCAATAACATCTTGCAAAACATTGGGATGGCGGTTGTCAATGCACAGAGAGACTAAGAATCTAATGAACTATCAATGATGAGTTGACTTTTTAAACAGGCGTTTTGGTTTCGAAGATATCAACATAAAACGTTTTGAGGTTGGTCAAAAAAGGCTCCTTTTTGGGCATTTTAAAAATGGCTGGAGAAGACGTGCAGATCTCACCAAACTCCACCCTTCCACAACGCAGAAGTCAACTGCCGTGTCGAGAGTATCTTTTTTCCATCTTGTTGAGCTAGCACAAGTCGAGAAAAATAAGTTGAAAAGTGACCTCATATGAGGTCATTTGTCACCTAGACACTAGGGGACGACATAAGAGCCAACATGAAGACTGTGCGTCCCGAGATGCAGCCAAACTCTTGTCTGGAGCGACTCAGCTCAGCTCAGCAGTTCTGTAGGTTAGCACTTTCCGCGCAGCAGAAAGCTCTCGGGCCAAAGGTGCGTGGATAGCCTTTTCGCACCTGCTACTCGTATATTTGAACGGTGCGTGTTGCGGTGGGTTGACTATTTTGACCACTGTGATTGCACGCCCCTTTCTGATGCGATTTCAACGAGGCTGCTCATTTTCTCCCCCTCTTGTTTTTCTTCCCCGTCGGCTGTTAGGTGTATAGTATACACCGCACCTGCCTACCCACTCTAGTATACACTGTATACTAGAGTGGGTAGGCAGGTGCGGCAGGGCGTATCAGAAGAGGTGGCAGTGGAAAGCTGAGGGGACCAGGGGTGGAGTCAGAATTGAGAGTTTAAAAAACGTTGCCTGGTGCGCTGCTCGAATTTTGTGCAGGTGCCCCATGAGTGGAGGCTGCGAGACTGAAAGGTGGCAGTGAAAGGTGGCAGACGTGGCACGACAGCAGCTACACCTTTCACTAGCTACAGTAGCTCGAGGGGACCTGACCTCATGGAGATGCGAAGGGCTTTCATGCAGACAAATCCCCTTCCGCAGTGATGGGACAGAAATGTGCCTCGACTGCATGGGTTTCTTCGGTGGTGAAGAGAGAAGAGATGGCTGTCTCCAGCATGGCGGTCTACAGTGCGGTAATACAACATTTTATCGAGGGTGCCTCTAGAGAGGGAAACAAGAAGAAACCGAAAAGGCGTTATTTCCCAAGGCGGCACCGCGCGTTAATACCCCCGCCCGGCATCGCTCATTAGCAGCTAAGCTCTTGTCAATGTCGTCATGAGGAAACAGAACTGTACGTATGTTCGCAGCGTCGAGACAGCCTGATGGAATGGTCTGATCTTCACATGGTGCTCTCGCATGCAAAACGCTGAGTAAAGGATTACTACATCTACCCCAGACATCGCAGCAGTAGCAGCCCGACTGAGGCGAGTCGCGTTTCGGCATTACTGCGAGAGACATGTGGGGAGGTCAACAAGAGTGCTGCGGTTTACCGGCGGTGTGGGATGTTGGCGCTTCTTCTTGGCGACGCTGGAGGGACTTGGGGGGTGCCTAGTAGACTGGTCAGTCAGTGACGGTGCATCGCTGTACACGCTGTAAGGACCTGCGAAAACGGAATACTCCATCGGGACACGGGCATCCCAAGAGGCGTGACTCTTGTCACAAATCTACGCATGTCAACCCCCACGTCGCCCTGCCCCGCCCAAACAGGACAAACCTCCTCCTCCCCCCCACCCCAACCCCACCCGTTTAAGTCCCAACTCTCGCTCGCTGCTCCCTCCCTCCCCCCCTCCCCCCCTCCCCCTCCCCCTTACAACCTCCACATGCGGCATCATGTCTTACCGCCAGACCCGCCATTCTTATTTCACCTCCTCTACTGCC